GGTGATATCTGAATGGTGTCCCAGGATAATAGCTCTTACTTGTGATATGAATCGTCTAACCACACTGAAGGATGCTTTTCTTGGGTGTGAGCAGCAGGTAGAGCATGTTTCGGCACGAAACAACTTCATATCGGATCTTTCAGGCTTGCAGAGCCTATGTAGTTTAGAAAGTCTTCACCTCGATGGGAATAATCTTATTAGTCTTGGTCCTTGGTGCCAGAAGACTCAAGAGATTACGGTTAATTATAATTACTGTGTGAAGCTCAAAGAGCTCACCCTGAGCTGCAACAGAATAGCCAAAATATCAAAGATGGGAGTCTTTTGTCCGTGTCTTCAAGTTTTAGACCTTGCATCAAACCACCTCGTCACCATGGGTACAGCATTGACTGGGCTAAACCAGCTACGAGTACTAGATGTTGGACAGAATAGGCTCAAAGGCCCGAGTCTGTGGGACGCATTGAGAAACTGTCCTCTCCTTATGTCGCTTGTAGCCTCAAGAAATCGGCTTACAGATCTCCCAACATTTGCGGGAAGTGTCCTCTTGCGTGAACTGTGGCTTAACGGTAACGTTATTCGGAAGTTGTCTTCTGTGGCTTGGATGCCAAACTTACAAAGATTATACCTTCAAGATAATTCGATTGACACGATTGAGCCTCTATGGGGCTGCCCAGCACTGGAGGTACCTCTAATTCCTAGTGAACATAGACACCTTTAACGTCTTGGCTGCAGGTGCTTGACTTGTCGTTCAATTCAATATCTGATTTGACTCAGTTGCGTCAACTTGCGTGCTTTATACATTTGCGGTCTTTGCAGCTGAATGACAATCCTGTTTCTGAGCACGTGGAGTATGTGGATACTGTTCTAAACGCTGTGCCTTGGTTGATCGAGCTCGACAATGAGGCAGTAGGAGAAAGCACTAAAAGCGAGGTCGTCAAAACGATTTTTCTAAACGTAATGCGTGTTATTGGGATGCAATATCTTCATGAAAAAGCTGCACGAAATGAAATAATTTCCTCAGTATGCGAAAAGCCGGATGAGATTCAAATGGTGGTGATCAAGTGCACAACTCAGAATCAGTCCTATCAGTGGTTCCAGCATCCGACTGCGATTTCTGCTGGGCACAACCAGGATTTGGAGCAGCATACTCTTCCCTTAGATACGTTCCGAAACGGCTCAGCTTATTGGATTATCCTGCGGGCAGCAGTGCTCGAAGCTCTTCAGTACGACAGTATAAGATCTACCCTGGCAGCTTCGGGATTGGAACATGTTAATGAGAAAGGCCTCTGCTTATCCACCGACGTGCGAGCAAAGCTGGACGTGCTATGTAGCTTACAGATGTGTTCGAAGCAGAGGGAAAAGCTTTTACTTGCAAGCAAGGATTTTTCAGCTGAAAGAGATGACTATGTCAATACAAGAAAAAATGACTTGGAAATTTGCTTGGAGGAACACGTCAGCTTTCAAAACACCTCGTGGGCAGCTTTGACAAGAAAGAATGAGGCTACTAATGCCATACAAGCTCTATGGAAAGGAAGGACAATGCAAAAAAAAATTGCGTTATTGAATCGCCATAAAACAAAAGAATCCTTTATTAAGCTGCAGGCTCTTTGGAGAGGGTATTCATTTCGCAAAAAATTAAAAGGAGCAATTGCAAGCTCCAAGTACATCGACAACGACACTTTTGACTACGGCCTTGTTGACGAAGAGCATTTCTTTGTTGATGATAACCAATTCGGGTGTTCAAAAGTAAGTCCATTCAATTTGTGCTGTCACTTTACAAGGACATTTCCGATTGGTCAGGATATAATCGTTGGCTCAGCATCTTCTGGTCAATTGCAGGACGTAGATTGCTTACTCCGGTGTCTCCTTAATAGGAGCAATCGAACTGAATCTAAGGTAAGAATGCCATTGATTCTGTAGCATGACTTGCATGGTATCAGCTTGGCGACGAACCGGAGATAAAGAACGAACT